CTGAGTTTCTCCCCCAAATATCCATCTCAAGATTTCAATTAAAAGTGTTCCCAATGATATGTTTTTAATATTATTATATGTAATACCTGGGCAATTTTAAAAAAGAACAGTCATAAAGTCGTAAATGAAAAAAATCAACCATCATACTAATGCTTGGGGAGAACAATTTTGGTATATTTATTTATAGACTTTTTTTAATATCAGTATCAGAAGTGAAATCATATCCTGTCTTCTCTTTATATAACTGACACATTACTGCATTTCTTCTAAAACAAGGATTGACTAACTTTTTCTACAAAAAAATAGATAGTAACCATTTTAAGCTTTGCAGCCTGTATGATCTCAAAGGTGCTCTATTCTGCTCTTTTTATAAAAGCAGCCACATAAATCTGTAAACATGGGTACAGCTATATTCCAATAAAACTTTAATTTATGGACGCAGATTCACATTTCATGTGCTTTTCACATGTCACAAAATTTTACTCGTTTTTAATTTTTTTCAACTATTTAAAAATGTCTAACCATTCTTGGCTCATGCGTTCTTTGTGGCAGACTGGATTTGCTAAAACCTTCTACAACATTGTCACTAGTGGCTACATAGCATTTGTCTTTGTAGACATACCCCAGAATTTGTTTAACTGATTTCTTACTTAGGTTGTTTCCAATTTTTCACTGTTACAAACATCATTATAATAGAAAAGCTTGTTCTAAGTTATATGTCCTCTTTTAGAATTTTTCCTTAGTATACATTCCTGGAAGTAGAATTATTGTAGCAATAAGAAAGCATTAACTCAAAAAATTAAGATATAGAGATGGCACATAAACATATGAAAGTTTGCTCAACAGCATATGTCATTTGAAAATTGTAATTTAAAATGAGTTACCGGCAGACTGGGCGCGCAGGGAGTGCGTCCCACATCGCCATTTTAGAATAGGGACATTTCTTCAGTAAAGACTGCTTGAAACCGGCAGAAGGCTCCCGGAGGAGCCAGAGGTGAGCTGGGAAGTTCGCCCACGCCAGGCCCCTTCTGGCCTGCAGTCCAAGCCCAGAAGGAGTGGGCACCCAAGACCGGGGCAGACCAGGCATACAGAGGAGTGCAAACCTGCATCGCCTTTTTAGAACAGGGACCTTTCTTCAGTAAAGCCTGCTTGAAACCGGCAGATGGCTCCTGGAAGAGCCAGAGGTGAGCTGGGAAGTTCGCCCAAGATGCCAGCCAGTACCAGCAACACAGTGTCCCAATGCATACGGCAAATTAGAAAATAGACAGTAGGGAGTAGAAAAACCACACGCAACCCAGCAACCCCTCAGGAAAAAAGCACGCCACAAAAAGAAAACCACCCCCCAGATTGCAACGACAATAACTTGGAAGAACTTCTGAGCCTTCTAGAAAGAGAATTTAAAATTTCCATGATTAAAAAACTGACAGAAGTCATAAAGGAAAACAATGATAAGGGAAAAATAATCAATGATCAGAAGAATGAAATTGAGTCCCTAAAGAGGGAAGTAAAAGAAATGCAGGAGATCAAAGAATTAATGGAGGCACTAAAGAACTCTGCGAAAAGCAATGAAAGCAGAATAAATGAAATGGAAGAACGAATAAGTACTCTTGAAGACACAGAAATAAAAAGAACCAAAACAGAAAAGGAAAGAGAAGTATGAAAGAAAAAGACCGAAGAAAGACTTCGGGAACTATCTGACTCCATGAGGAAAGGGAAATGCAAATCAGAACTACCATGAGATACCATCTTACACCAGTGAGAATGGCACATATTAAAAAAACTAGCAACAACAAATGTTGGCGAGGTTGTGGAGAAAAAGGAACTCTCCTGCACTGCTGGTGGGAGTGCAAACTGGTCTAATCACTATGGAGAGCTGTGTGGAGATTTCTTGACCTACTAAACATAGAGCTTCCATACGATCCAGCAATTCCACTCCTAGGTATTTACCCAAAGGACACAGAAACATCAATTCCAAAGAGCACCTGAACCCCTATGTTTATAGCAGCACTGTTTACAATAGCTAAGCTTTGGAAACAACCCAAATGCCCAAAAACAGATGACTGGATCAAGAAGATGTGGTACATATACACCATGGAATATTACTCAGCATTCAAAAAAGATAAACACATGCAATTTGCAGCAACATGGATGGCGCTGGAAGGGATCATGCTCAGCGAAATAAGCCAGAAAGAAAAAGAAAAATACCAGATGGTCTCACTCATAGCAGGAATCTAGAAAACTTAAATAAGGAACCAGGGAAAAGAATAACTATAAGAAAGTAAAAATCAAAATCAACAAACAACTATGAACCAGAGACACTCTATTGGGGGTGGGGTGCAGGGAGGGGAGGGATTGGGGTCAGAATGGGGGGGTTGCAATTGTATGGGGAATATAAAAATAAAATTTATTAAAAAAATAAAATAAATTAAAATGAGTTACCACTACACACCTATTAGAATGGCTGAAATCCACAATACTTGACAACACCAAATTCTGGTGAGGTGATGAAACAACAGGAACTCTCTTTCATTGCTGGTAGGAACACAGACCAGTACAGAAACTTTGGAAGGAATTTGACAGGTTCTTAGAAAGCTAAATGTAGACTGACCATGCAATCCAGTAATTGCCTTCCTTGGTCTTTACCCAAATGAACTAAAAATCATGTCCACACAAAAACATGCACATATATGTTTATAGCAGCTTTATTCATAATCATCCCAAATTGGCAGCACCAAGATAGGCAAATGGATGAAGAACTGTGATAGAGCCATATAAAAAATCAGTAGTCATTGACAAAGAGTCAGCCACAAAAAGAGATAAAGGAAACATAAATGGATTTTCTAAGTGAAAGATGCCAATGTGAAAAAAAAAAAACTATATACTGTATGCTCCAAATATATATGGCATTTTAGAAAAGGCAAAAAAAAAAAAAAAAAAAAAAACTAGGAGAGATATAAAAAGGTCAGTGGTTGCCAGGACTTTGTGGGGTGGGAAAGGAGGAAAGGGTGAATAGGTAGAACAGAGTGCATTTTTAGAGCAGTGAAACTGTTCTGTATATTGTAATTTATAGATACATGACATTATGCATTTGTCCAGACTCATAGGATGTACATCACAAAGCGCGAACCCTGATGAATACTATGGACTTGACTTAACTATGCACTGATGTTGGTTCATCAGTTTTAACAAATCTACCACACTAATGCAAGATGTTAATAATGAGAGAAAAATGGGCTGAAGGAGGGAAAGGAGAGAGGATATATGGGAAATCTGTACTTCCTGTTCAGTTTTCCTACAGATATAAAACTACTCTAAAATATTGAAGTTTATTAATTAGAACAATTTTGTTATAAAACTCATATTTGTAATAAAAATTAATGAAGCCATCCTACCACCTCCAAAGATACCCACTTGTAACAATCTGGTAAATATCCATCTAGATTTTTCTCTGCATATAAAATATATACATATATTTTCCCTAAAGACATAACACTTTTTTTGCATGTTGCTTCTTCTAAAACCCAATTATATGCCATTTTTCCATTTTTCCATGTCAGCACATATAGACCTACTTTATTTTAACTGTACATTCATCCATTGTCCTATCATAACTAATTTTCCCAATTCCTTATTATTGGGCATTTAGTTGTTTCCAAGTTTTTTTGTAATATTATTACAAGCTAGTTATAAGTCCTTATGCCTCTATCTTTTGGGGGCTGTCATTACAAATTTCCAAAGCTCCTTCTTGTAAGTTTGTTCAGGTTTATATTCTTGGCAGTATTTATATGCCAGTTTCCTATCACCCTTGACATACCTGGATGGTATTTTCATAAATCCCAACATCAAGGGTCACTGCAAGCCTGCTTGAAAGGCATTTTGACGATGACACTTGAGGCCTTCACTTGCAATGACCTGTCAGCTTCAACAACACTAACTTGGATCCGCCTACAGAATTCCCTTTTACTTACAGCATGGGTATTTACTTACAAATACCCACTGGCCAGGGTGTTTCATCGTTGCTGAGGTAACAGGTGGAGAGTACCTTGTCGGTGAAGCAGAAGGTTTGGTAGCAAGGGAAGAATGGCACGGGTGTAATGGCTCTGTCTGTTGCCCCAGAATTCCAGTGCCTTCCTTTGGCTGCTAAACTTTCAGAGTTATTAGAGGGGAGATTTCAGAAAGACATGGTGAGTATTTTTCTTGATCTTTTTGTGAGGGTATCGAACCAAGTTGCAGTGAACAAGTATTAGCAGCTGGGCTACAGTGTACACAGGACGGTCATAGAGTACTATCCTGCCAGTAATGGGGAGCCTGACAAGGACTTTTACAGGAGGAGAGCACTTTCCAGGGCCAATGAGAAAAAAATCAGTCACTCCATTTCCTCATGCTTTGAAGGCTGAAGACATTGAATAAGCATGGGCAGTGGTTCTTAGACTGAGGCTCCAGATATTTTATGAATGGTAGTTTTTTTTCATTGAATCGTCTTGGAGCTCTATCAAGAGAAAAGTAAACATTTAGGTCTTAAAGACTTCAAGAAAATACAGTTTGTAAACTTATTTTAAATTTTGTTTTCAATTAGCAACATCATACCTACTAAAGCTGTTTAACATAATAAAATTCAGCACAAAAGGCAGGTAGGTCAGAAGGAAACATTCCTCTATTATAGTTTAAAATATTCACCAAACTCTAGGGAAAAAACTTGCTCCAATTGCTCCTAAACTGTATGACTGGGAACTACTGTTGCATATGTTTTTCATTTTGTATTTAATTATTAATTGAAGCTTTAAAGCCATATATGAAATGTATAAATCTAAGACGTATAATAAAATGCATTATGACCTTGAAAAAAAATCAATCCTAGCATCAGCGCATCAACAGTGGCAATGAAATTAGACTTTCTTTGTAAGCTGCCTGAATCATTTACACATGGCCATCCAGAGGTTTTAGGTATTTTGATATTTCTGGTGTTTAATCACCCTCCCCTTGCCTTCCATGTTTTTCAGTTACGACAGTGGCCTGACTCGTACACAAAGAAGTTTGAGCACAGAATCTACCCCATCACATTTTCAGTTGGAAATCCTCAGGAATGGAAGAAATTGTTTAAACCCTGTGCTGCCCAGAGACTCTTTCTTCCGGTAGGAACACCTGCTTGTAATGAGCTGCCGCTTGGGAGGGAATTGAGCTAGGAAAAGTGGTGAAGCCAGGTCTTTTGAGAGACAATACACTTACAGCTCAAATTGTGTTTCTCTTGGATTCGGTTCTTCTTCTTTTTTTTTTTTTTAAAGATTTATTTATTCATGCACACAAGACCTGGGGTACAGGCTAGAGATGCGGGAGTGAGAGGATCCACCAGAGACAGAGTGGGGAACAGAACAGGCAGACTGACTGAAACACACTGCTGAGGGGAGTAGCAGGAGAGTCAGGAGAGGTCGGCTGTGCCATGTGGGTTGCTCCCTGGCTGGCCAGGGATCCAACTTGTGCTGCAGTGTCTGCAGACAGCTTCACAGTGCGGTGCTTAACCCCTTGCACCACCAGGGAGGCCCAGGATTCTGTTCTTGATGCTCTTAGTCTGCAGTTATAGAGACATGGTCCCTGTGTTGGAGGTTGGCTTTGCGCAAAACTGAGGCACTGAGAACATCCAAAGCATGTCTGGGATATTGGGTCTTTGTGACTTGGCTCCACATTCACAAGTTGTGAACCTCAATAAATCTCCCAGACTTCTCTAAGCCTCAGTTTCCTTCATAGGCCTGTCACATATTTAGTCCTCGATAAATGTTAGTTTGGACTCTTATTGCTCTTAATAACTATTCCTGGATATAACCATGCCAGGGGATACTTCAAAAAAAGTCCAGGGTCTGGACTCAGCCTTTCAGTGTTGAATTTTTAACTTGAATATTTTAGCTTCCTTTCTTAAAATTCTTTTTTCTTTTAAATACTTGTTTGTTTACGCATACAAGAACCGAGTACATGCCAGAGGTGCCGGGGGCAGGGGCAGTGGTGAGAGGATTCACCAGAGACAGAGTGGGGAACAGAACAGACTGACTGAATTACGCTGCTGAGGGGAGCAGCAGGTGAGACAGGAGAGGTCTGCTGCGCCATGTGGGAAGCTCCCTGGCGGGCTGGGGCTTGAACTCATGCTGAAGAGGCTGTGGATAGCTTCACAGTGCTGGGCTTAATACCTTGAGCCACTAGGGAGGCCTCCTTTCATAAAATTCTAAATAGAAAAATCACTGGAGTTTTACCCAAACTGAGACTATCATTGAACAAAGATGGCAACTTTGAACTTTGAGTTGCACTTCATGTAGGTGAGGTATTCTGTGCATGCATTAAAGTGCATGCAGTAACCATTGTGCATGAAGTAACCATTGTTCATAAAGTGCATGAAGTAACCATGCACAAGTAACCATTGTGCATAAAGTGCATGAAGTAACCATTGGATGCTAGGCCTGGCTTAGTGATGATAATATGACAACAAATAAGGCAGGTGATCTTGTGTCATTGGAGACTGAGCAAATAGGTGACTAGAAGTATAGTCAGTGCTGAGGTGTACCATAGAGTCTTGTGGGCATATGGGGTGTGTGTGCGTGTGTGTGTGTGTGTGTGTGTGTGTGTGTGTAGTTCCCATCTGGTCTGGGAAAGGTCTTAGGAGGTTCTCTGAAGTGATGGCTTTTATGCTGAGTCATGAATGAACAAGAGGCAGGGGTCACTAAGTGACAAGGGCCTTGGGGGAAATGAGAGAGGACAGGATTCCTGGCAGGTGGTGGAGCAATATGCACAAAGACCCTGTACATATTGGATCATGTTTGAGGGTCATATTCAAGGATCATGTTTGAGAAAATAAAAGAATGTCACAGTAAGCAGAAACTAGAGTGAGGTGGAATTGAAGAGGTCAGCATGCTGGGACCTGCAGCCTCCATAGGTCATATTGGAACATCTGGGCTTTGTGTTAAGGGCAGTGAGATGCCACTGGTTTCTACTATGGAAATGGGATTATTTGACTTGTGTTTTAAAGAGAGCACTCTGGTTCATTGCATTGTGGGCAGTGAAATTGTTGAGTTCAATTTGTGATGACTTGGACTAGGGTGGTTGTCTTAAAGATAGATTCATAACTTGCCTGAGAAATAGAATTACTAGTTCTTGGATTAACTGGTTGTGAGAGTTGAAGGGGAGTGAGATGATAAGGTTTCTGGCCTAAACAACAATTAAGGTAAATAAATCTATTTGAAATTGCCAATATTCAGCTATTTGTGGCCTACAAAAAAAGGTCAATTTCTTATGGTTCAACCTACTAAATGGATGGCAGTGCTGTTAAGTGATGGAAAAGACTAGAAGATGACCAGTTTGGATAAGGAGGGAATTGCCAGTTTGGTTAACTTGTGTCTGTTTTTTTTTTTTTTTTTTTTTTTTGAAGATTTGTTGATATAAGAATTGGGGTACAGGCCAGATGTGTGGGAGGGTGAGAGGATTCACCAGAGACAGAGCGGGGAACAAAACAGGCAGACTGACAAAATACACTGCCGAGGGGAGCAGCAGGTGAGACAGGAGAGGTCTGCTTCGCCATGTGGGACCCTCGCCTGCTGGCTAGGATCGAACCGGTGCTGCAGAGGCTGTGGACAGCTTCACAGCGCGCGTTCAACTGCCTGGGCCACCAGGGGAGGCCCAACTCGAGTCTGATTTTAAGTTTCCATCTCTTGGTATGAAATCCTTAATGGCAAATGGCACTTTTAGCATTTCCTACACAGAACCTGTAAGGAGAATAAGACACATATGTACTCTTGGAGTTTATTCAAATCATCCATTGACCTAATTTCCACGTGCCATAGACCTTTATAAGGGAGTTAGAAAATGGGAGTTAGAAAAGAACCTCAAATCATGTTAAAAACTACCATTTGAGAAGATAAAAAAATGGTTAGGTTTCTGTTTCTCCGTTTTAGGGGGAAAATATTAAAAAGCCAAGATTATTATTGAAAAACTGCTTCCCCAACCTACCCAAAAAATATTAGCAACCTCGTGGAACACATTTGACTTTTCCCTGACCTTGAATTGACTTTAGTACCAATATTTAAAAAATACCCACACATGATTGTTTTCATTCATTCCCACCTAAGTCCATTTTGAGTGACAAATGGGTGCTGACATTCTTTATCTGGCTTTGATATTGAAAACTAGCCCTCCTTAAAATAATAAAGAGAGATTGTGGTTGACAGGATGTAGGGTAAGGTAAAAGGTATCTGGCTTTTCTGCCCTCCCGCCATCAGGATAGATGAGGGAACCCTGTGATCCTGAATACCTGCCTGATGGCAGGCACCTGAAGTGGGTACACCTGCGCTAAGACTGCTTTTAAGGGCGGCGTCACAGGGACGCAAGAAGCCGAGAAAGCAGCAGCAGAAGCCGAAGAGAAGCCGAGATCACCAGAGAGCCCAGATAGAGTGAGGATTTGCTGGGGGCTGGGAGGCCTGCCAACCTCCTGGCCCCCCAGCACCCCTGCCTGCCATATGCCTGGTGAGCCCCAATAAAATACCTGCAAAAAACCGCTGAGGACTCTGACTCCTCCTTTACCCGGTCTGCATGGGATCAGGAAACCTGCACTGGTCCAGTCCTGCCTCTACACAGGACCTTTACCTTCTCTCTGTTGTTTATCATAAAAGCAATTATTACAGAGGGGGCGGAGCAACATGGCAGCGAGGAGACGCTGTAAGATCTCCCATTAAAAAAAGTTAATAGGGAGGAAAAGCGGCAGGTCCCAGTGAGAACTGGGACATGGAAGATAAACGGGTGACGCCAGCGAACTGCCCGAAGAAGAAAGTGGCCATAAAAGAGGACTAGAAGGGAGGGAAGCGCAGAACCCTGCTCCCCTCCCCCGCCCACAGAGGCGGCACTCTCCGACCCGCAGAGAGGAGGAAACAACAAACCAAAACGACCGACAAGAACAAACGACGCAGCAAGCGGGACTGTGAGTGGAAAGGAACTATTGCAGCCACCACACCCCGTGAATAGGAGCTGTGGAGAACCCCGCAGGATCCGCCACAGCGGTGAGCGAACGGCTCCGGGCGCCATTGAAGAGAGACCCCGCCCCCGGGGAGGAGACCAGCACCAGCACACAGCCCCGGGCTGCCCGGTAAGCCTGCGCAGAAAGGTGGCGCGCTGGAAAAACAGGCGCGGATCGCGGTCAGGATTGCGCGGAACAGCGGCGCGCTGGAAAACCAAGTGCGGATCGGAATCCGGATCGCGCGCGGAAAAGCAGTGCAGTTGAAAAGCAAACGCAGATCCAGATCGCAGCTGCCCAGGTCCCTGCGCCTGTGACCTAGGCTTGCGGGGATACTCGCGGAGGCCCTCACTGAGTGAGCAGGCCCAGGCGCCCAGGCACGGGAGCGGGATTCAAAAGGCGCCATTCCCGCGCCACTGAACTGGGCTACAGCCTGAGTCCTGGAACTGAGGGCTTTGGAACTGACACCCGGGGCACGAAACTAGGGGCATGGGTTCCCCACGATGGTGGGGCACAAGGCAGACACAGCACCCCAAAGCCGTTGAGGTTTACCCTACCATTCCTGCTCTATTCCCTGTCCCACGGGGTAGAAAATCAGCTCCCCAAGGGCTCCAGGAGAGATCTCTGGCGCCACCTAGCGACTTGAAGCCAGCAGAGGCGCCTAGAGGAGCCAGTGGCCAGCTGGGGAGTTAGCCCACGCCGGGCCCCTTCCGACCAGTAGTCTGAGCCCACAGGGGGAGCGAGCACCCACAGCCGGGGCAGACCAGGCGCGCAGAAGAGTGTGCCTGAGACCGGACGCACAGGGAGTGTGTCCCACATCACCATCTTAGAACAGGGACATTTCTTCAGTAAAAACTACCTGCAGAAGGCTTCCTCAGGAGCCAGAGGTGAGCGGGGGAAGTTCGCCCACGCCAGACCCCCTCTGGCCTGTAGTCCAAGCCCAGAGGGGGAGCAGGAACCCACCGCCGGGGCAGACCAGGCGCACAGGGGAGTGTGTCCCCACATCGGCATTTTAGAACAGGGACCTTTCTCCAGTAAAGACTGCTTGAAACTGACAGATGACTCCTGGAGGAACCAGAGGAGAGCAGAGAAGCTCACCCAAGATGCCAGCCAGTCCCAACTACACAGTGTCCCAACGCATACGGCAAA